CGTCTGTATAGGAGACGTCATAAACGTTTTGCGCCCATCTGCGTCCGACAGGTGGACAGATTTGGCGGAGAAAGCGTCATGGTTTGGGGAACCATCTCATACAACCCGAAATCAGACTTGGTGATCGTTCCGGGGAACCTGACAGCCCAACGTTACATCAACCACGTGTTAGATCTTCACCTTCTCCCGATTATTGACCAACAGACACAGATTTTTCAACGGGACAACGCCCGGCCTCATACTGCACGTGCAACAATGAACTTTCTGCAGAATTCCAACGTCAATGTCTTGCCATGACCCTCTAAATCACCAGACCTCAACCCTATTGAACACCTGTGGGATACTCTGGATCGACGCGTACGTCAACGTCAGCCGCCGCCACAGACGCTGCAACAGCTCGCCGTTGCACTGCAGGAGGAGTGGAGAGCCATTCCCCAGGAAAGAATCCGGCGTCTTATCCGTTCTTGTCCAAGGAGATGCCGTGCAGTGATTGCAGCGCGTGGTGCTCATACGAGATACTGAGAAAGACGCCCCCCTGGTGACAAACTGGTGTCTGTGAGATGACTTTTGAAATGACAATTTTAAACATGCCCATCTGGGTTATTATTCTGCCAAATTTCAGACTTCTGTCTTAAATAATAAAAATGCCGTGTCGTCCTAAAACTTCAGATCAAAATCTCTAAAATACAGGGGTTGCGTTTCTTTTTTGACAGAGTTTATATTTCGCAGCGACCCTCCCGCTTCATGTATAAAGAATCAAATATTGGCACGATGCCAACGTGTTTGTCACGTATCAACGTCTCGGCCGCAGTCCTGGCATTTTATTACCCACGTGGTTCTACCTAAATAGCATTATGAAACATGTGGTCATAGTCAACTTGCAAGTCGAAGCAATGAGGTAACCTAGAAATCTATTCACAAAAGAATTCGACCCGTGAAGATCCGGGTTAGAATTAGTCTTCAGTAACCCATGCTGGTCGTAAGAGGCGACTAACGGGATCGGGTGGTCGGGCTCGCTGACTTGTATGACACATGTCATCGTATCCCAGTTGTGTAGATCGATGTTCATGATGTTGATCACTTGATTGTCTGGTCCAGACTCGATTATTTACAGTCCGCCGTCAAATAGCTGGAATATTGCTGAGTGCGGCGTTAATCAACAAACAAACAACAAACAACACAAAATGAATTAGGCATGAAACCAACAAGCAGCAAGGGGTGTACAAAAAACAGTTTTGTAAAAATCTGTTGCATAAAACATAGAATCGAAACACTAAAGCAACAGACTCACAGATGATAATATTGTGCAGTTATACCCATGTCAGGTTTAACATGGGTACAATGAAATCATACATAAATTCATACTCTGCATGCGACGCCGAAGCTTTAGATTGGCCCACTGTCAGATAGCAATACGTTTATTGTTACGGGGTAACATTCAAATTGTAATTGAAACAGTAAGTCATCCCAAGAAGATTACGAAGTTACAAATTTCATTAGCAATACAATATCTACATGCCTCACTCTGAAGTGGTTTCGAAAGAAAAACGAAACAAAGCTTTATAATACTTACACACTGTCTAAATTACACTACATACTAATGATACTGTCTAAGAAGTGTTATTTGTATGCAATATGCAATAGCAAATGCGATATCTGAGCGTGTACTTTCAGATCTGTGCAATGGTTGCAAGTTACCAGTTTGCCATGAATGCCAATGTATTACCATTGGGGTTAGAATTACCGGAAGTCAAACATCGTGTATATGCACTGGAGCAAACATCACTGTTTGACGCCCTGAATGATAGAGGACATATATGTTCCTTCTCTTCTCTTCCCTTTACAATGATATCACCCAACAGTCATGTGTAGGGCACTCAGGTGGCCGAGTAATTAAAGCGTTCAATCGTCTCTTGGAGGACCCGGGTTCGATTCCCCATATAGTTGCAATATGTGAAACCTATTTCAGTTGTCCTGGAATATTGCTAAAAGCAGCGTAAAAACCATACTTACCCACTGTCATTTTGGCGTGCGAATAGTGTAATAGTGACTATAGTGCTTTAAGAAAATAGTTCCTTTTTTGTAAATACATAATTATGCACATAGGTTTTAAGGTATTGTCTCTGGTATAGAATTGTGTCAAATGCCGTTTTATCGGCGGAACAGTGGCGTCGAAGAATTCCTCAGGTGCGCTTTTGTCTCAAACGTTATACGATTAACTCGTCACGATTTGTATCATTGAAACCATTTATCAACATTTACAGCAATATTGTGATGACATAATATTAAGCCGTTACATATATTTCTGCAATAATTGTCAGAAATAGACCATCCTATGTACCATTGCCATAGCGCCTACCACTACATTGATACCTGCGTGCAAAAGTGACGTAAAACAACAAACCAACCGACCAACCGACCAACCAACCGACCGACCAACCAACCATGCAAAAGGAACTTTGGGGGGCCTCTTTTGTTGCATATTTTTAAAGAAATAGCCACATAAATTAAATGCTGAGCAATGCCAAATCCAAAAATAAAAATATGTTCGTTACTTTAGGTACAGTTTTTTAATTTATGTTAATTTGATGCCTCAGATTTAAGTGATGTCTAGCTCAGATACACGGTAAAACACCTTTACCTATTAAAGCTATCATTTACAGACGAAAAAACATCAAATTCTGTTTAACAAATCCAGTTTTGTTTATTTAATACTATGGACGAAAATGTAAAATATATGTTTATACGTTATGGATGACATCTTCTTTATTACCTTATGTGACATTCTTGCTTGACAAGAATCTATACCCGAAAAAGTCTCATCATTATAGTATAATACAAAAGTTGTTATCCATAAAGTATTCTTCCTTTCTTATTACTCATCGTCGACTTCTTACACCCATGAAGAATAATGACAATTATTATGGATATACAACTTCTTTTATTCTGTGGAGGCGACGTTTCGACATAGGTTCTAATGTCGTTGTCAAGCAAGTGATTATTAGAACCTATGTCAAAACGTCGCCCCACAGAATAAAAGAAGTTGTATATCCATAATAATTAATTATTCGTATTAACGCAACTTCTAAAATGCCCATCAAAGAATTCTTGTACCCATCTCACGTATTCCACAAGAAAGTCCTGGTACAGACTTGCGTTATTCGACTCTGCTGTGTGTTTTATATAATTAATTGTGATGTTAATGTTCTCGTGGTTTTTGCCTTTACGAATAGAATTGCTGATAAATATTTTTAGAAGGTTTAGCCACAAAGGTCTGAAGAGTAGTCTCCCTTGCACCATTAATGTCAACATACAAGCAGCTGTCTTCCATGTCATGTAAGGTTAGCAGAAAAATATTGGGCGACGCAATTGAGTCTTCCGGACGAGATTGGACGTTGTTGACGTCGTTGGAGAGGTCCTGTGACGTCAAGTGGAAATGACGTCACACCTTAGAAAAACAGCGTAATAGTTTAGTCCTCATTACACCAGTATATTATTCTCCTACGACAGTGGTATTGTTTGTTAGTTATTTTACGCCACAAATTCAAGCTGTTTAGCGGCCAGTCCGGCCCAGATAGGAGAGCAGTAGGCTAGGGTTTAGAGTCGACTTTAATGCCCCCATCTCTTGTAGGGACATATTATAGCTCGTTGGAAAGCTTATTGTATGGAGATTATGATGTGCCCTGATGTGGTGACCAAAAGTGGTCCCATTTTGGGGAAATCGAGGTCACGTGACAGCACCCTCTTTTGTTTTGTTCTCACTCATATAAAACATATGGACAGTTGAACGTTGATTATAAAATCTGTCATGATGAAATGCAATAAAGCATATGCCAAAGTATCTTTAATGTACTTCCCAAGAGTTAATAAACTACAACAGACTTAGAATTTTGTCAGAAATAGTTTTTTTAATCAAAGATTGTATTTTTTAACATTATCTAAATGATTCAATTTAAAACCTCGTTATGATAGATATAACTCAACACTGCGCCGAAGTGTGAACCGTATGTGTCATACGGATTTTACGAACCTTCTGTAAGAGTTGGTGCAATGCTCCCGCTTTTCTGGAGAAAAGACCCGTGAAGATCTGAATTAGAATTGATCTTCAGTAACCCATGCTTGTCGTAAGAGGCGATCGGGATCGGGTGGTCAGGTTCGCTGACATGGTAAAAGTCATCGTCAAATTGCCTAGATCGATGCTCATGCTGTTGATCACTGGATTGTCTGGTTCAGTCTCGATTAATTACAGACCGCCACCATATAGCTGGAATATTGCTGAGTGCGGCGTAAAATTAAACTCACCATAAATAGTTAAAAAGAACGGAATGGTACAGTTGTAAAATGATATTGAAAATAAATTATTGAAATAAGTCTAGGATTTTTTGTTTGCTTGTTGTTGGTTTTTTCTGTTCCCTTTTCCTTTTGGTTTGTTTGTGATTACTTTTAACACCTTAAACCTACATACAGTTGTCAGTGAAAGGGGTTATCTCTTCACGAGTTCATGATTGATTTACAAGCAGGGTTTGGTCATGGGTCAAGAGTAGTCTCCATGCAAAGTGGACAAATCTAACACTCTCCTACCCAGAGTTCCGTGCAGCTAGTATAGTACCTCTTCCAAAGGCAATACTAAACATCTTTGATAGAATGGTTCAGTTTCACTGAGTGAGTGAGCATGATTTTACGCCGCCTTTAGCGATATTCCAGCAACATCACGGCATTGTACCCATGTGGGGAATCGAACCTGGGCCACTAGGCTACCCCACCTCCCCTTTGTTTCTTTCAGAAAATATCCTTAACGTGCAGCACTATTTCGATTTGCATCGCGAACCTTTGTTACATAGGTTGTGGGACTCCGCGTGCTTAGATCGTCGGGGACGAGTCTTCTTGGAGGTTGTGTTATGTGCGAATCCAACAAACCAATCAGAACGCGTGTAATGACTGCCGTGCTTTGATAAAAATAATCCCGAGTACTTAAATCGTTAATGGCTTTATGTCATTTATTAAAAATAATGAAAAATTACTATAATGCTTGTTTAAAGTAATTCTGATGTTCATGCGACAATAATGAAATCCTTCCAGAGGGGCGCGTGTCGCTATTCGGCTTGTCCCGGAATAACACGAGTGGGTCACGAATGTGTGGATTTGCGTCATTCGTAACTACTCGCCTCTTTCCGTGACCTACACCCGGAATGACACGAGTAGTTAGGAATGTGGACTTGTCAGACTTACTTCCGGGGTCAGTAGATGTCTTCGGGAGTTACGCCATTCTCACTCGCGATATCTATCACCGATTGCTTGGATTTGATGAGTGCATCAAGCTAAACCTATACGATCGGAACAAAAGATTTGATCGGATCAAGGAGTACGATGTGCGTCTCGTTCTGTCGCCTTATATTTTCAGGGCGATATAGCGATGACCCTAATCAGCCACCATACTGAAGGATGTGGGAATTTTATTTTCCTGGTATCAATGCTTTAGGGGAGAACACGTTTGATTTGATGTGGGATTATTACATTTCAATGACTGAAGATGTAAGTGGCGGGACAGAGTCATGGATTTCACACAACACCTGGTATGGCCACAGTGACTGTAAGCACAATCGTGTTTGAAATATTTCCTATTCCAAAGTTTATAGAAGAGTAGCAGTCTAAACGATTGTATAGTGTCTTTGGTCGCTTGCTGAGAAAGTTGTTACTTGTTACTTGTTACCGTTCTATATTATTGTTATAGTGACACCCTCATTTGTTAACTACTTATGTGTTTGAAGTAGACCGTGTATCTGACGCCTGAGACCCACGAAGAGGCCACGTAGAGGCCGAAACCACGCCCCGTGATTGCGAAATGTATCTTCACACATAATGGGGACGCTGTCAAAAGCTCCCGACGAAAACTCAAAGGCAGGCCATTTCCATGTATGGAACAGCACCAAGAACTTGGTCTTAATGCCACTGTTGAGGGAAGCGAGCTCTTAGAACATCTAAGTGTTTATATCGGTTGACAAACTATGCGAAGAAAACGTCCTCCAAATGTTGCCTGGACCACCCCCTTACAACAACTCACAACAGAGCCCTGATAACCACAGCAGGAACGAGGCTCAAGCAGGAAATCGTCATTGGACATGTATCAAATACGACGCCATATGAAACCCGTGTACGGATGTAAACTGGATTATTCATCTGAAAGACTCGAAGGATGAACATACTGAGACAGTTTCTGGCAATGGTTATACTGAGAACAATCGGCCTTTCAGAAGGCTAAACATGCGAGTTTTTGTAAAGATATTACAACAAGAACTGTGAATGAATTTCATCACTGTGAACAATATCTGGACTATGACATTCTCAGAAAATAAACCTGTGAGTACTCCTATATATTGCCAAAAGCTGAAAACCTATCATTGCCGGTATCATAGAACTAGCTTGTAATTACGCTACTCCACGCGGATGGATGTTATGAAATATAACTGTGACACTGTACAATGGGCGAGTAACGTTTTTATCATCCCGAGTTCAATATCGAAATAAAAGGCGTATTATATTAATTATAAATATCTTTTTTTCTCTCAGACTGCGTCTGGACTACTTACTCATGACATTATTGGATTACAAGGGGGAAAAATAGGAAAAGGGATAAAGTTGGAAATCAGTGGTTATGAATTGTCCTTCTCATACAGGTTTGGAGTGGGTAGACTTTCGGGTGGCGTTGGTCTGTCGGGGCACACCAGGGATGAGGTACACACATTGTACCCATGTGGAGAATCGAACCCGGGTCTTCGGCGTGACATGCGAACTCTTTGACCACTAGGCTACCCCACCGATAGACAGCACTAAATGTATAAGATGTATAGACTGTAAGGTGTTCAGGTGCCCGACACGTGCAGCTATAACCATGATATAGCCATAACGTACAAAGTCTTGACATTCCTATTCATTTCCTTCCTGTTGTTCTGTTCATGTGTAGTACACGTTGTAGTCCAGTTGTAAATATCTGGGAGAAAGTGTTCTAAGTTGGTGAACTTGTACAGGATCCCATTGATCTTTTATGAATAAAATATGTGTAAAACAAACACGTTAGGACATAGAAAACATTATACCAGATTACCACGCTCGGTCCACTCTCGCGCCAGGTGACAGGGACTTATGTATTGTTCATATAAGTACAGATATGCAACATTTGATAGACATCAGTGTAGTGTAGACAGATCTTCATTCTTCAACAAGTACAGTCATATCTACAATACATTGCAAATTACATTTTTCATACACCACAGATTATGAGTTCGATGAGTCTCAGTTTATGACACAACCAGCTGTGACGCTTCACAACTATCTACCGCCTGGACGCTGCGTCTGGTAACGTCGTGGGCGACTGCAGTTGCCTCCCGCAGGCTGGCCACGTTGTTTGGCGGGTCATCCTGCACAGCAGGCAGAGGCAGGTCATATTGGCCATTCCCCTCACTCCTTTCTGGGCATTGTATCGGCAGACCCTGGGACGTCATCTGTAATTGGCAAACAGATATTTTATTTACGTTTAACTGATGCACATGTTTAAAAGAATATATATACAGACATACGACTTGGCACAGTAAGAATATGATACAGCGCCACTCATAATAAGTTATGATAGACGATGAAATCATACAAGCAGGCATTTATACATATATAAAGGCGATGGTTTATCCATATAAGACATGTTTTCTACGTTGTAGTATTAAAAAGCAAGCTTTGACAGTAAGATAGCACTTAATGTTTTATGGTCAATGACATTGGCTTAACATTTGTGAAAAGAGTGATTCTAAAATCATCACATAAGGGACACTGTAACAAAACATGCTTCGTCTTCAATGAATTTATTAGTTAAAACAAACTATATCCTGAACATATAAATTTACATATCTGTCCAATTCTATTCTTAAACGTGCAATACCACATCTAAATTTGGTAAAAGTGGAACGGTAACTATGGGTCATAAAAGTCCTGACAACTTTCACAGAATTAAAACGCTTTACAGTGAGTGAGTTTATAGTCACAGTGGCAGTACAAAACTCTGAACTAGATCTTTAGGTACGGAGCTTAGTTCCACTATACACGTCATCATCATTCCATAAACGTTCTTGCCATATTTTAGCATACTGGTTCATTATGGAATCTTGCATATCATATGTGTATATATATATTTAGTATTTAAACAACTGGTGATATTTGAAATACGCTGCATATGTAGGAGAGCTATTTTTTTCTTTCCCCCCATTGATTCCATTTTTTATGATCAGCAGCAGGTATTTCCGAGCATAATGTGAGACATTAGAGAGCACCACCCTGTATCCCCATCAATAGCAATATCCGGTGCATATTTACCCACACCGAGGAAAAATTTAACAGCTCTGTGATGAGCTGCGTTGATTGTAGACACATCACCATTACCCTACAGAAGCACCGTAGCTGATCACAGACCACACAGAGGAATAAGGATAAGTGTTAAAATGGATACCTCACATTGTCTTAAACAAGGTCTGTATTCCATGTTATATCTATGAAGGTTGATCTTTGCTCCAACAGAGAAGCTTGTGTTGACATCTGTGGTATTACTACAAGGTCTGGTGTACCTCAGTTTACAACACACAGTTGATCTCGTTGTGTGTACATGTCTTCCCAGAGATGAAGATGCAGTAGTTACATACGTGTAGACATGATGTAATATAGGAGGAAGGTGCTGAAGAGAACGAGATTTAGAAAAAGAAACGATGTTCTTTAACAGAGGCCAGGCGGTTTCATTAGTCCTTTGAACTCATGTTTGAACTTCAGCACGATTGTATTAATATATATCACCAAGACGTTGGATCAAATATGAGTATTATATGAACAAAGCATTACTGTTTTAATACTGTTGACTCTGCCACTGTGGCCAGTATCTACAGGTCACTACACCACACCGTCACACATCTCTTCCAACTATACTCCCCACAATAACATCACACTCTCAATATACTCCACTGAGTGAGTTAGTAACCGTACCCCCTGAAGCACGCGTAGTCCGTTTCAAAACACACCCTATGTAAGATTAAAAGTCAGATTCAGGTCCAAGTTATGCGAGACCGCAACGTTTGTAGCCCGTTGGGATATTTCTAAATATCTTTTGCCTGGAAATACTGCAAAACGACCATTGTGTGTGTAAAGGTATCATCAGGATCAGGAAAGTGTCACCACATTTGTAACATAATAGTTCAGTAGCCAAATCACCAGAAAATGTTGTTATAACTTTCATTAATGTAATAAAACAGAATAAATAAGGAATGAATTAAAATGAGATTACCTTACAATAAAGAAATTGGTATCTTGTTGATGTAAATTCAAGATCGCCGTCAGACACTGCACTTGCTCTCCTAACGGTCGCAACTTTATCAACTTGTGTATGTGAACTTCGTTGTACATGATTAGTTAGTGATCGTTGGGAGACGGTACTTCCCATTGTAAGACAATCTAGCGTCGCTGTTTCGGCTTGTCCCGGAATAACACGAGCTGGCCACGAATGCACCATTCGTCACCACTCGCCCCTTTCCGTAACCTCCAAGAAAACTCGTTCCCCACTCGATACTTGTTATGTGCGAAAATACGACAAACCAATCAGAACGCGCGTAAATGAGCGCGGTGCTTTGATAAATATAATCCCGAGTACTTAAATCGTTTATGGCATTATGTCATTTATTAAAAGTAATGAAAAATATATATCGTCATATTGAAAGTACAAAGAATTATAATCGCTACGAGTTTCAAAACAATAATATCGTATTTGTATGTAACTAATCAACCTTAATCTTTTAACATTGGGCTTTTATTTCATAGCTCTGGGGATATTTTAGTCTGAGTGTTTTTTGGTCCTTCATATTTTTTTCAGCGAATTCATTTGAAATTCCACCAGGGGTGTGACAGCAAGGTAACACGAATGTTCAGTTTGAGAAATATTTTTAAAGTCATTTTTGAGTATCTGCTTTGGGATTTAATGGAGCTGAGTTTTTGTATATTCAATAAAACAATTCCCATTTGGGATAATTAAACCCTATTAAGAAAATTAACATAATTGGAAATATAAGGTGAACAGCTGGTAATAATTACATTAGAATATGTCTAACAAATATGTTTTTCTCCTTCTTTTAGTTGTATCAAAGAGGTTTAATTATTTAAAATAAATAAGTGAAAAAAAAACCAAAAACAACAACCTAGCAATACAATGTACATGTACTTCGGTGATATTAAGAAACTTTGGAATCAATCAGGGATTGAGTTATCGTTCTTTTTTAAAGTAGTTCTGATGTTCATGCGCCAATATGAAATCCTTCCGAGTCGCTATTCGGCTTGTCCCAGAATAACACGAGTTGGTCACAAATGCGAATGCACCTGATGGTTTGATTTGGGGATTGTGGTTGAGACAAACCCGGCTCATTTAGCTCAGCTTACTGACAGTTTTCTTCTCAGATGTCCTTCGATGTCAGTCTGTTACTGGTGTTTACTATCAATAACTGGACTTCAATTTGTTATCAGTAAATAACACAGTGACTTGTAAAAACACTGTTTGTGTTGCATTCAAAAATCCGTTGTGCATGGACGGGCAGTCACGTCCACAAGCGTACCTCTCTCGTCTCATGCAGAAGCTGAAGAAGAGTGAGTGAGTTTCTTTTTACGCCGTTTTAAGCAATATGCCAGCAATATCACGGCGGGGACACCAAATCTGGGCTTCACATTGGGCTTCGTCGTGACGAGCTTTGACAACTAGGCTACCCCACCGTCCCAGCTGAAGAAGAAGCAGGTCCTCAAGGTCTCCATCCCCTACCTCATTGGGGACTCCTTTTCAGATTGAATCCATTTCTTTCTTTCAATCAAAAATATATTTGAGACTCTAGCACGTTAGTCTAGGCGTGAGCTGACAGACATCTTTATTGCTTCCAGCTTCCCGACCCAATGTGCCTCGACCGCTGTTGCAGCTTCATTGAAAAGGTCGTTTATAAGGGAATACTTTTGTCATGCTTGTAGTGAATATTGGTTTAGAATATCATCATTTGTTTAGCCTCCAAGCACAGGGGCGTGTCGCGCTTAGAAACAACATTAGAAAGACATATAGGTATATAGACCCTACCCTAGTACTATATAAAAAGAGCCTTTTAAAAATTGTTAATGTATTGATCCATCGTTTGGTGAGAGAGAGACCAGCCTAACAGAGACTTTGAGTCAACAACAATCAATATAATCACTTACTTTTGTCCTTGAATGTGTTCAGTCATGCTTGAAAAACATACTCCACGTGTGGGTAGATCCGCTAGGATGAGAGACGTATTTTGTAACCACGAGGTGACATAACTGAATTAGATGAATGCAAACATTCCGCTAAGTAACTCCCATTTGGTCATAGGTGGATCCAGTGTGTGTGTGTGTGTGTGTGTGTGTGTGTGTGTGTGTGCGCGCGCGCGCGCTGAAAGTTTCTTAAATGACCATTGAAACTCTCGAGAATATGGGTGACATTAAAACTGAACTGTAAATATATTCCACCGGCGACA